TAAAGCAGAAAAAAAAAAAAAAAAAAAAAAAAAAAAATCTTACACCTTTTTTTCCCCTTGGTTTTTTCGAGACGGGGTTTCTCTGTTGCTTTGGAGCCTGTCCTGGAACTAGCTCTTGTAGATCAGGCTGGCCTCAAACTCATAGAGATCCACCTGCCTCTGCCTCCCAAGTCAGCACTTGGGATTAAAGGCGTGCGCCACCACCGCCCGGCGAAAAAAAATTCTTACACTTTTTAGTCAGTTGAAAAACCTGAGAATCTCCTATATTTATAAATGCAAAACATTGTTGAAGCTTGAAGTATTTAGAATACTTACTTATGGGAGGAGGGAGGGGAGGGAAATGGAAGGAGATGGAAATTTTTAGTAAGTAAATATAAAAAAAGAATACTTACTGAGAATAAAAAGTAATTTTTAAAAATTTCTTATCTTTAAAATTTGGTATCTGACTTCTACTAAACCAAAACGCCATGTGTAGATGAGCAGAAGGAGCAGCTCAACCACTAAGACTGAGAACACCCAGTGTTCTGTCAACTCAGTGAATGCCCTCAGGAACCAGAAGTTTTGGACACTTCAAATTGGGAACAGGTTGGTGTATGAATAAAATCTTTTCCTCCCAAAACTCAGATGTACAGGAAGATATTTTTGAGTGCATTTTTTTTTAATTTTTAAGAGGTGATACAGAAACCTTTTAATCCTAATCAAGTTTATTACTGTTTTTACAGTCAACACATGGCCTGTTGCAACAGTGGAATAAATACGACAGGTAGGCCATAGTAATTCGGGTCAGTTTTTCCCACCAAATAGGAGAATGCAACTTATTACTGAGTTTTTCAAAGATTTTTCCTCCTTTATAACTGTGAGGAAGGGATTGTGCATCTGTAGACTTTAGTCTCTCTGGGATCATTTTTTTTATTTTATTTTATTTTTTTTTTTTTTAGGGTAGCACGAAGGTTTATTGGGGCATTCTAGTAAAGACGCTGGGGCTTGCCCATGGTGCTCTTAATATACAAAGCCCAGACATTTTGCCAGTTCTTCTTGAGCAAGGACACCAAGAAATTGACAGCCAAGTGGATGTTGTAGACCAGCTCGTTGTCAGTCATCTTCACGTGGCCGACAGCGACAGCCAGACGCAGCACCTTCTTCATCTGAAACTTGATCGTGGACTCCACCTCGTCCACTTTGGCCACCATGTTTTCATTGTGTGTCAGCAGGGAAGGGAACTTGCCAGCCTTGTTCAGGCCTGGGCCCACGATACGCGGGATCTGCTTGATCAGAGACTCAGAGGCCAGAAAGACGTCATACTTCTTGGCCAGCTTTTTGACCAACTTCTTGTTCTTATTGAGCTTCTTCAGCGCCTCGGTGTCCATGTGGGGGATATCCACGGCCTTGGCCTCATCGCAGTGCTGCTGGTCCCCCAGGACGCACACCGAGAACTTGGGGCGAGGGGTGGACTTGAGCCTGACGGTGCCCAAGAAACGTTTGTCCTTCTGGGGGGTCGTAGTTCTTCAGGCTGATCTGCAGCTCCATCGTTTCCAGAAACTTGAGGCGCTTGCGCTGGTTCCCATGCAGGACCTCCCGCACCGCCTCGTACAGGGTGTCACGAGAGACTTTGCTGTTCATGGCTGCAGAGGCTGCGGGAACCAGAAGGAAGAGACTCTCTTGGATAATTTAGAAAACAAAGCAAAGCAAAAACAAACTATTCTTAGCTGAAGTCAGCATCCATAACCCTAACAAGCATGGACAGCTCCAATTTGGAAATACCCAGCTTTGTGCTCACTAGCGAATGGCAGTATTAAAATTTGTGTTTTCGCCAGGCGGTGGTGGCACACGCCTTTAATCCCAGCACTTGGGAGGCAGAGGCAGGCGGATCTCTGTGAGTTCGAGGCCAGCCTGGACTACATGAGCTAGTTCCAGGACAGGAACCAAAAGCTACGGAGAAACCCTGTCTCGAAAATCAAAAAAAAAAAAAAAAAAAAAAAAAACCATAAAAAAAAAAAAAAAAAAAAAAAAAAAAAAAAAAAAAAAAAAAATTTGTGTTTTCTTGGGGAAATCCCAATATCACCCCTTGTGGTTTCTCTGTTTCTGCCTTAAGAAAAGTTTCTGCCAACTTATTTTCAAGCAACACTTGACAATTTTGTTTTCCAAATGTTCTGGCACCTTTAGATGAGATCGAAAGTGTTGATTTCAGAACGTGGGGGTGGTTTTAGGTGCAAGATTTGCTCACTGCAAGTTTAATCATTGCAAAGGAAGATATCTCCAAGCAGCATCACTCCCAAAGCAGTCTGTGGAGGCTGGCGTAAGGTTGTCTCTGACTAGTCAAGAACTTTATTTTGGGCTCATTATCCAAACCAGTGTTTTATGACACAGTTTTCACCAAAGGGATGTAGCTGAAATTGTTTGGTAGGACTCACAACAAGTCAGTTAAAGAGAGCTCCCTGCTAGTACGTGATACCCATCATGGCATCCCTCCACTGTGGGCGACTAATACTCAAGAGGCCCTGAAAGTACTCAGGCAGGTCTTCTGTCTCAGCTAATCAATGCTGCGGTTGCTTCTGACATCCCAATGTGCTTGAAAGGGGCTCCTCAGCAAAAACAGCTCTGTCAGGGGCTGGTAGCAACAGGAGAGGGAAGGCAAGGGTTACATGTGGTCAGCAGAGCCCTGGATACACAGCCACCAGCTCTAGTGAGCATTGGGTGCTTGCCCAATATAACTCAGCAGCAGTGTAAACCAAAGGAAGGTTAGAAGTCCACTCACTCTATCTGTACACATGCCTTTTACGAATCCTGAGGGCACTGAGCAAAGCTGCTTCAACACTTCATTTTTGTTTTTTTTTTTTATATTTTTATATGATTCTTGGTGTTTTCTTCTTTTCTACACATTTAACAAAACTTTTACTTTATTGTATTTAAAATTCTTATGCTTTATTCATTACTCCCTCACAAACATACAT